GTTTTGTGTGACTGGCTTTGACAGTTTTGTTTTGGATAATTTAAAGTTCGATCTAATATTTCCTTTTTTTGTTTTCATCACTCTAACCTGGATGGATTAGAAACTGATGGTTCATATGCTGATGGTTGAAGTTGATATTCATTTATTTATACCGTATGGTTTCAAATTAATTTTTCACTCTTTTTGTTACGACCATTGAAAATGGGGAACTTTATAATCATCCGACTGGGTTGAGTGATATATCATATTAAAGCCGTTTCAGTCGTTATTCGAACGACTTTTTAAAATTTCCAAAAAATATCAGTGTCGAGAAAAACTTTTTTGAAGTTTGTCTAATTTCGACAGAATAATGTACTGATAAACTGTTAAATTGGTCAGGGGAGGATTTAGGGGTGGGGGGCGGACGCCTCACCCCCCTCAGGGATTCGACCACCTGCCGACCCAAAGGGTCCCCTTTGAACTATTTTGAGATATCCAATTTTGGCTGACGGACCCTAAAATTTTTCTAAAAGTGCCTTTGGCGCCAATATATACTAATTTTGAGGGGGGAGCACGCGCCGAAAAAAACAATTGGTTGAGATTTTTTAGAAAAAGTGCCTATAAACGCCTTTTTTGGCCTGTTTTTTTTTCACAATTTTGTTTGCGACGCAGAAAATTTGCCTAGAACAAGGTCTTTTTAGTGCTTTGGCAGAGCCCGAAAAATGAATTTGGTCGATCTAAAACTAAAAAGGTCGACAAAAGGTCGATTATGCCTAACTTACTAATTTTCTACACTCGTCTGTAGTTTTGTCATAACACCACGTACAAATAAGACACTAATTTGAAGAACTTTTATTTGTAGTTTTTAGGACATGGCCGGAACATTCTGTGCTACTTGCTCAGCAACCGGCTAGCCTTGTTAGATTTAAGCAATTCGTCTTTTGATTTTTTTAAAGTTCAATTTAAGTTATTTTGCTCAGATAAAGTTGAAGTACACTTGAATTGTAGATTATTTCAGGTTTCTCATGCTAAATGATCAATATATATAAAAGTGAAATAAAAAATATACTTTGATCAATTTTTTAAGCGTCAGCTTAGTGTGTTATTAGAAGATTTTTTTTTCTAAACCCAACTCGCAATAAAAAATGTTCATTAAAATGTTCACTTATTTGGAAATTTCACTAGCATTGGAAATTGCATAGCATCTGTTTTCTGCTTTATTTGTGGCTAGTGTTTAGTCTGCTATCTACTAAAAAGCTTCCATATTGTACTTTATAAAGCTGCTGTTTGTCGTGTCGCCTCTGTGTCTAACACTTGCGAGCGTAGTGTTGCACAGTCAGTCCAATTTGTCTGACAAAATCTAGGTGCAAAAATTATGTTCAAAAATTATCAAATTAATTGAGGGACTCTTTACACCTTATTGAGAGGGACTCTTTACACCTTATTGAAGATATTGACGCCCTGAGCTCAAGTGCAAATAGTACGTAGCCTGCGCTAAATTCCATGACAGTTTTGGCGAATTTAAAGGTAGTAATAAGCCAGTTTGCTGGGATAAATTATGCAAGATATATGCCTGTTCCTATGATGAAATGCGAGTTGTTTTAGCATACCGATTTTATTCAAATTTCGAAGCGCTAAATTTTTTCCAAATGAACTAATTAGTCTCAATGATTTCTCTACTAGACTCGCACAAAAGAGCTTGTGTATCAGACAAAGCTCTGAGTGTTCCTAGCTGAATTCAAGGACAATTTTAAAAAGTTTAGGCTCGAAATTTGACGAAGTAAACTCGAAAAAAACTTATTCTTTTACACGCTAATGAAAACTACAAACGGATGTGTTCAGCTTCTTGTATGATTATTATGAAACATTTGATTTGCTTCAGATCATTTTGGAACGTAATAATCTTTTGCGTACGCGTGCTGTATGGGAGTAAAATATTGCGCGTAAGTTACCCTAAATTAGCAATTTTCAAACGCCCGTAGTTGTACGAAAAACATCTTAGTGAGCATCTTATTTTGATGCTGAAAGGGTAACGAAATTTTACTTATTCGTAGTATTCTATATGCACCACAGAACTTTATCAAATAGAATTGAGGCACTCTAATCGGTCCTATTTTTTTCCGTTTTACTCAATTTTGTGCATGCAATTGTTGTTTGATCTTACTCAAAATTCGTCTTTTAAGAATCGAAGACCGTAGTTGACATTCTTAGATCGGTGGTGATCATTCTTTTCTCAAAAAAGTCCTAAGATTTGTTCAAGCTTAAATTATTTTCGCTGATTGAGTTTTGATTTCTTTGTAGTAGTTAGAACATAGTTGAAAGATGACCAAGGGAAAAAGAGCACGGCCTGAGGGCACTAAGCGCTCGATGGAGGCTTTTTTGCCCGAGGCCATCTTCAACTATGTTCGAACAGTCGAAGAGTATGTTTTTGCTCTTTCTGCTTGTTTTTGCTCTTTCAATTGTAATAATCGGACTTCTTTCTAAAACAGAGCCCTGAATATTCCGAAAAGTCCGCGAAATTATGCAAATGATTCCTTTTTTCCTTAAGGCGTTGTAATATTTCATTTTTCATTCATTCCTTGTCGTGAAAGAACATGTGTGAAAGAGCAAAAACATACTCTTCTTAAAATCAGAGGATTTCTTTTGCTACTGTTACGCTTTCGGTGACCATTAGTGGAGTTTGCCTTACATTTAACAAAAGAAATCCTCACCGAAAGCGTAAAAGTAGCAAAAAAGTCCTGATTGTCTTTAAATTTCGAAAACGGAATTCAATTATCAGTTTTCTCAACAAAAAAAACTTTTCCATTGATCCATTTTTTTTTCAAAATGGGTTAATGTTATCAAATAAAGGTCAATCAAAAGTTTTTTTTTCTGTAAACTTGAGTTCATTCATTTTTTTCCAACTGACTGTTTCCCATGTTTTAAAATTTTTTATCAACATTTATTTGATTTAGATTAAAGGGCAGTCGGAACATTCAGGATGTTGAACTGGTATACACGAAGTAGGAAAAAATGTAGACAAGCAACGCTTGGTTCGACTTTCGAATAAGAATTAGAACGTTTTTGCACTTTGTGTTTTTCTGATGACTAATTTTGACTCTTTAACAGGGTCACTTTGGCTAGTTTGGGACAATTAACGAGCAGTGTATTTCATTCAATTAACCCGTTAACAGTTATTTAACTCGGCTCAGAAATTGTTCCAATTGGATTTGAGGCAAGCCAAACGTGTCTATTAATTTGTTGCTAGATGCTGAAAACGTCTGCTCATACTTTAAACAGCTTATTTGGTGATATAATCAACAAAAAACTCTGAAATTATCATCTTCTAAATTTTTCATAACATGATTTTTCACTTCTAATTTAAGATAGGCAGTCGGAACTTGGTTTGTTCAACTTTCTCAGTTATTTTCTCGTAGGGTATAGGTTTTTGTTCTAATTTTATTTCCATGAACTGTATCTCTTTATTGTTCTGAGTACTTTCGAGGAAAATGACGGACTATTTGTGCTCGGCGTTGCCTTTTCGTTCCAGACCATTTTCGAATTTTTATACCAGCACGCTTTGAAGCGTTATTGTATTATAGTACGAAACATCTTTTTTATAAGCTAACTCGCAAAAAAGTGTTCATTAAAGGGTTCACTTATTTGGACGTTTCTCTGTAGAATATGAATTTGCATAGCATGTGTTCTCTGCTTTGTTTGTGGCTAGTGTATGGTTTAATAAACTCTCGCGGCTGAATGGTTATTGTAAGAGAATTGTAATCTATATTTTGCTCTTCTTGGTGCAAAAATTATATTGAAAAATTATCAAAATAATTTATGAGGGACTCTTTTACACCTTATTGAAGATTTTGACGCCCTGAGCTCAAATGCAAAGAGTATTTATCCTGCGCTGAAATCCATGAAAGTTTAATTCATGGCGAATTTAAAGGTGATAATATGCCAAATTGATGGGATAGATTATGCGAGTTAAATGCCTGTTCCTATGATGAAGGGCGATTTGATAGAGCTTGGCATTTTTATTCATAATTCGAAGCGCTAAATTTAATCCAAACGAACAAATTAGTTTTAATAGTTTCTCTACTAGACTCGAACAAGAGAGCTTGTATATCAAGGCAAAGCTCCGAGTGCTCCTACCTTAATTCAAGGCCAATTTGAAAAAAGTTTGGGCTAGAAATTTGACGAAGTAAACTTGAAAATAATTTATTCCTTTACACGCTAATGAAAGCTACAAAAGGATAGGTTCAGCTTCTTGTATAGTAACTTAAAAACAAATTGATTTGCCTCAATTCACTTTGGAACGCAATAATCCTTTGCTTACGCGTGCTGTATGAGAGCAAAATTTTGCGCGTTATTACCCCTAATTGGTCAAATTAGCAATTTTTAAACTCTCGTAACTGAACGAAAAAAAATCACAGGTGACATAACTTTTAAAAATGAGCTCTTAAGACAATTTTTAGCAGTTGGCTTAAGACAATTCTGTCAAAGCGCTTAGCCGAAAAATGGAAAATTGAATGAATCAAAATAACCATTCCTAGCATAAATTCTGCACTTTTGGTCGAAATTTGGCTCAATATTTTCCTTCAGTACTTGTGACCATTATAGAAATCGATTCCTATTAAGGGCAAGTTTTGATATTTTATTGTATTTTTTTCCAGCTTTCGATGAATTGTGGAATATTTATTCTTGGCTTGTTTTTAACTCGGTGAATTTCCGGCGACCCGAAAAGATTTTGCCCAAAGAATTTTTACCCCATTGATGATTTCGACTCTCTGAGCCCAAATATCAAAAGTTGTTTTACCTTCTTTATTTAATTTA